AGAGAGAGAGAGAGAGAGAGAGAGAGAGAGAGAGAGAGAGAGAGATTAACTGCGTTTTGCAAAGTAAAGCGACAACACGCGCCGCTGTCTATTCATTCGAGCCTGCAAATGATAGCGCGGCGACCTTGCATAAATATACCGTACGTCGTATCATAATAATAAATACGAAGGCTACGTGCCAGTCAAACCAAAACACTCGAAATAATCTATGCTTTATAAAATAAAATCACGCTGAGTTCAGTTCTTTCTATTCTTGAATTCATCTTAAATAGATTATTAAAATTATCAACATTATTATCGATTTAATTGTAAGATGTGCAAAGAGCATCAAAAATTAAACTGTTAGTCAATTTAACTCGTCATATTACTGCGATAGTTTAGTAGAGCTTGCGTTTGAAGTCTGAAAAAAATTCGACGCGCAATCAAAAAATCTACATATGTGGTATATAAATTTACACGCAATTATATATTAAAAATACTCAAGATCAAGCTTGACCGTTACGACCTGTTTTCATCGGTTTTTCATTGGTTTAAATAGATTATTATTTTGTTTTAACTTTAATGTAAAAATAAAAATGATAAAAAGATATTCACACCGGTTCTCTATTCGACTTACTAAAAAGTAAAAAAACTTGTTTTTTTTATCACTAATCTTCTCCGATTTATTTTCTGAAATACTTTAAGATACCTACACTGACAATGAGAGAAAAATGTTAAATTTTGACAAATATTTGAATAATATCAGATAAATATTTACTAAATGTAAACATATATTTATTTAGCACAAGAATATATTTTATTTGATACATTAATTTAACTATTGTTATTTTTTATTTAGCAAATATTTATTTTTTAGAAATAAATGTAATTAGTGTATAATTCAAACAATTATATATTAAGATTCACAATACATTTTTTTCGTAATGCTCGATTATGTTATAAGCTTTCTATATAAAAATAATATTTTAGGGCAAACTAGAAATGTGGATCGACATGTTTCGAATCGAACAATTGCCACCGAAACCGGCGGTCAACATTGCTCGCCCAATACCGGAGGAATATGAAATTCGTGTTATTGTTTGGAATACCGAAGACGTGCCATTGACTGAGAGCCAATTCCTCACAGGAGAAAAATGCTCCGACATTTATGTCAAAGGGTATGTCATCGCAAATGTATAAAATCGATAAAAATATTTTTAAAAAATAACCAATAATGATATTAAAATATGGTATTAAATATATTTTATCAAACTATCTAACGATTACATATAATGATAATGTAAAAAGCGTTGGAATGATATTCTGCGAGTTCGATCAAATTATAAGATATCACTTTATTACCCGCGATTAATTAGCTCGTTTGATTAACGATTCATATATAATATAAAGATACTAACATGATTTTCAACCATATTCAACGCAGACATTTTAAGTAATTTATTAAGTCAAAGCACACACAAAAATCGAAAATAGAAGGTGATAATTGCAAATTATCTCATATTTACGGGCAATATTGAAAACAACTTGTGGATTCGATGATTAATGATAAAACTAATTTTCGAAAAAATTATTTTTAAGGTCAAATAAAAATTTTTTTTCATATAAATCCTTTAATTATTCTATATATACATAAAAGTATTGAAATAATAAATACTTAAAAATTAATAATTTACGAGATATTCTATATTTCATGTCAAAATATATTAAAATAAAGCATAAAATATCTCATAAATTATTGATATTTCAATATCTCTAACTATATAATAATTAAAATATTCGTGTTATATAAAGAAAGTATATAATTTTATTTTAAAAGATGGCAATAACTTTTACGTGTGACTTTAAAAAGTTAATTCTTTTTGAAAATTATTTTATCATTATTTTTCGTCGCCAACAGTAATTTAATTTTTAGCCAATTATTTGAAATATTAATCAGTTTTTTAATTCCAATGGAATAAAATAACTGACTTTACAGTAGAGACGATCGATTGATTCGTTATTACTGAATTCACTATATATTCGAAATAATTGCGTAGGTGGATTCAATACGAGGATTACCAAAAGACCGACATCCACTATAACTCTCTGACTGGTGAGGGTAACTTCAACTGGAGATTCGTATTTCACGTCACATATTCGAAAGGCGAGAATGTCATGATAGTTCGCAGAAGAATGTCTGTGTTTGCTAAAAATGAGATCGAGGAAAAGTTGCCTTGCAAACTTCATCTGCAAGTCTGGGACAGTGATCATTTTTCTTCGGATGATTTTCTAGGTAATTAAAATAGCCATCAATTTGTTTCAGTACGGAAACGTTTAAAATATCGATGGTGACTGTAGCCGTGATTGGCGTAAACGAATTTTGTATGCGTTACAATACCCGATAAAATATCCGATATAAAACAATCACATAATTCACTTTATACTCAATTATTTTTAAATCCACTCAAATACGTATGTAAATTTAATTTATATAAATTGTAGAACAATTTGTTATTTACAATACAATATAAATAAAAAAATTTGCGTGAAGAGAAAAAACTATATTTTGTGAAACAAAAATATTTACATATCTGGAAAGAGAGAGAGAGAAATAAATTACGCTCAGCTTATAATTAATTGAAGTATCTCATTATATAAATGTTACAATAGTCTTTCAATTAATCAACGTATTGCAGGAGAGTTAATACTAGATCTGTCCAGAATGCCGCGTGGCAGTTCAAACTCCAAAAACTGTACGCTGAAATTACTCGAACCGCAATTACCTGCAATAAATTTATTCAAAGTTACTCGGACTAGAGCTTGGTGGCCTTTCGTGCGTGATATCGACAGTGGTAGATATATTCAAGCGGTAAAATGTTACAAAATTATAAAGGTCTTGGTTAAATTATGAAACAGAAATTATATTATAATTACTATAGATAAAAATTATTCTGTGAAGAAAGATGAAAGATTATTAGACGATATTTCATTGTGTAATTATATTTTTTTTGACTATAGGGTAAAATTGAACTAGAAATATCCGTGTTGAAGGCAATAGATGCAGATGATCAACCGGCAGGCAAAGGAAGAGATTCACCTCAAAATCTTCCACCTCCGAGGTTTATCCCTCTTTACTTTAATTTTATTTTATATATATCCTTGCGCTTACTTGAATTATATAATTAAATATTAAATTAATAACATTAAATTAAAATTAAATACATTGTAATATTATTTCTTTAATAATGTTTTGATGAAATTGTGCTTATAATTGCCCTCTATACTCAATATTTCCAATTATTGATTATTATTGAACATATTGTTATTATAGCGTTATATTGTGATTTGCAGGCGACCCGATACTTCATTCTCCTGGTTCCGCAATCCATGGAGAGCGTGCTGTTTCGTCGTTTGTCGCTATTATAAATGGCGAATACTATGCTGCTTTACGTGTACGCTACTTGTGCTTTTAGTAGCGTGCGGGATTTACGCTTTCCCAGGATACTTCGTTAAACGTCTCTTAGGTGCTTAGTTTGTGAAGTAGTACATTAATGTAACAAATGTATGTACGAATACCTTTAATTGTAAGTCATACTTTATAAACATAAAAACTGATATTATAGTGTGTTTTTGTGATGTAGAGAAAATAAATTAGTAACCAATTAACTATGTTTGCTTTTTATTGTTTAATTCGTTTTCTACTAAAAATATTAAGCAATTTTTAATTAAATAATAAATTATTCACAAAATAAATAGGTTTTTTATATAAAATAAATTTATATATAGTTTACAATGTTATAGTATAACATAAAACTAAAAATAAAAAATACGTAAAAAGATAATATAATAATATCGAACGTTCCGGAACTCACGGGTTCTTCTTCAACGATTCTTGAGGATGTTACAAAGTCATAAAGATATTCTTATGGTGATAAGCGACATGGTGTGGTACAACTGTTTCGAAGAAATTGATACTCCTGTTTTTATGTGAAATCAATTTTTTTTTATATTCTTTATATATTTTTTATTTTTATTTTTAACATTGTAAACTATAAATTTATTTTATATAAAAAAATCTTATTACCGTATTAGACCGTTGTTTTTTCATTACTTTGCATTGCAAAAAACGAGCGAATCTAATTATATTTCTCTTTCATTACACTCGCACAATTTTACGCATTAATCTTTATTTTCCAAATAGGAACATAGAATTTTTTTGGATTTTATTTCTTTCATGATAATGGTACAAATTTTTATATTTGAGAAATACATTATATAAACGTCACAATGATTTTGCTTCTTAACCCTTCAGGATTCTCTATGGCTTTTCGTGGGCCTCAGCACAAGCTATTAAGCAATATGCTGCATATACAAGCTCTTTCCGGGTTTCACACACAATGATTAACTATCTGTATACATGCCATGAGTATATAATTTGTTAGTATAATAGATCTTCGTGTAACGTGTAACGCAAGTGATTCATTCTGCATATGTGTGTGTGTGTGTGTGTGTGTGTGCTCGCGTACATGCGTATAAATTTCTAGTAAAAAATAAAGAGCAGTGTGATTTGATCGTAAGAATGATAAACTATTGTAAATAAAATAAATGAGCAATTAGTTGCTACAATTTAACAGATAAATTGACTCGCTGATCGATGCATTGTTATTACCTGCCTAACTGCATTATCGAATTGGATATTCGTTCTTGTCGATTGGACAGACACATCAGGGAAATACGTTAATTGAAATTTTGCGTACTAATTAACACGCTATGATACTCAACTGTCACTTCCCATGATACCCTCAATGTTTATTGCATGTGTTTTGAATAATAAAATAATGCGAACAAAAGCGCGCGACACTCTTCTAAAATTTCATTACCCAAAGAAATTCATAAACACACATTTCGATATTAGAATTTTTATCTCGGAACCATTAATGAATTCACGCAGGTCTGAAACACTTTTATATACATATACACATATAGAGAAAAGAATTATAACTATAATTCTCTGCATTCTGAACTGCAAAGACGCAAATCATTTCTGTATGAATAATCGCAACATGCTATATTATAATTAAGGTCCGAGATATAAAAATTAGTAATTAGCCATTTTCTAAGTGCAACGATTTTTATTTGCAATGAATATACTATATCGTATTGCGTTAAATGATATGAAATTGCTGTGATTTAAATACGACTAACATTACAGTACATTGTATCATTCGCGTCTAAATGAGAGTGCCATGCACTCGTCACTCTGCTTAATTTATTCATCAAAGAGCGTTATATATGCGAACATTGAAAGTACAATGAGAAGTGACAAGCGAACGTCGTATCACGTGTAACGTGAAAATCAGCAATTTTAATTAATCGTGTTTTTCTATTCGACAAGATCCACTGGAATATATTTATTTTGACAAAGGTTCAGATGAGTATTCACGGAGGCATATTGATTACAATGTCGATTTATTTGTTACATCGTCGTAATAAGTGATTTTATTCATAATAATTCATTTTTCATTGTTATTTTCTATTTTGAGAAAATACTTATATTTTATAAAATATATGTATACATATGTTATATATAAATGGTACAATTTCGAAAATAATACGATTCTAAATAAAATAAGATTTAAATCCAATTTTCGAACTTTACAAATTTTATTTTTTCCTATTTAATGGTATTTTTTAGTACTCAATGAGATCAGGGTTATCAAATTTAAATTTTAAAAATTGGATTCAAATTTTAATTTACTTTGAAATTATATAAAAGTTAAAAAACGTGCTGTCTTATTCTAATATTTGCATGTAAGTACTACAGAAAAAAGTTCAAATTTATTTTAATACTTTAAAGTTAAACTTATTTAATGCTAATATTTAATATTTTAATATTTAAAAATAACATGAGTAATAAAAAGGGTAATGAGCCAAATACTTATTTATAGTATTTGGTTCATTACCCTTTTTATTACTCATATTGTTTTATACTTATTGGGCCTTATTTTATATTATTTAAAAATAACATTAAACTATTTTATAATATTTAATATTTTGTTAAAAATTAAATTCTATTATTTTAATATTTAAGTTAAAAATTCAAGTTATGTTAATATAAACTTCAAGCGATATGCTATGACGTTTTATTAATAATCTTTTATTCTGTCTCTAAAGATTAGTAATTAATTAGCAATTAGTAAGGAGTTCTCTAATGCTGTAGTTCGTCGTATTTCGCGCCGTATAGCAATGCGGTGAGTGACGACTCGCATACCGGCGCGAAGTTGTCGCCACGCGGTTCGAACATAACCAACGTCACAGTGTACCTCGGACGCGTAACGAACGTTTGGACGTTGGAGAGTCGCGCGCGTATTGTTTCGAATTATTTACTCGTTCAAATTCAAAGTACGTCGCGAGTGGGCAACGACATTGAAAATACAACGTAGAGATGACGGACGAGTGTCACGTTATATTAATTAGTGCGCACAATTCTAATTAGCCGCATTTTCCCAGATCGATCCACGCGAATGCGCGAGACAAGGATGGAGTCAAGCAAAAGGCAACGACAGCATATCGATCGGTGAGTTAATTCGTTCAGTTATCGCGCAATTGAACTTTTAGAGAATGTTATTCAATTTCTTGTAATCGTTATATGAGAAATAGCAAGAAACATATTTCTATTAGCAAAAATAATGATTTATTATTAGACATGTCCGTTTTTGCTTATATTAAATAACGAAATAATTTTATTAAATAAAAAAAAAACGTATTAAATTATACGTATTAAAATATAAATTATACGTATTAAATTATGAATTATACGTGAAAAAAATTGTACAGAGGTCGAAAAAAAGCAACTTAAAGGTAAAAATTCACTTTTTCGGAAGCATGTGAATCGCATTTGTGCACAATTTTTAATCCGCGCCGTGGATCTTTACAAATTTTGTAAAAAATTTTGAGATCTGACGCATCTTCATTTATGTTTGTGTAAACTTATGGATACAATAAATTTAATTTAGACACATATAAACAAATAAAATACCTATCTGGAGACACGGTAGTGTCTCGGCGCTAAGTCAAGCGCCGTGGTATATATTTACTAAATTAAAATCAAATTTTAGACAACGTTTATAATTTTTCCTTAATCAAAAGCGTAATATATCAAAGCATAATCTTTACATATCTATTATTATATATATAAAATTTCAAAATTTTAAGCTCTATCTTATTGTATTTCAGATCTGACAATCAAACGATGTATATTTTAATAAATACTTAAGAAATATTTATGCATATTTTATACAACAGAATATTCGCTGTGTAAATAATAATAATTATTAAAGCTCTTTCTTAGTCACCACTATTTTTATATTTATGATATAGCTATGCAGCTATGGATAATTGTTTGTTTATTCACGTTAATTGCCTGTCGAGAAAAGTTTGCAGCCAAATATGCAACGCATATTTATATATCATGATTAGAATTTTGATAAAATTGTTTATAAAATTATATTCCAAAACATATCTTAATGATTTTAAAACAAAATGTTAATTAATTATCTAATTATATAAAATTGACTGAAATAACAATTCTAAAAGTTTTAAATAATACCATATTTACCATACTTTTATAAAATTTTATGGAAAGAAAATTTTTCTCTTAGTTAAACTTGTAATACTTTTAATTACCAATTAAAAATAAAGAACAAACGTCTTTTTAATAATAAGTAACGCAATTCTTACCTTTTTATAATAATATTAATTTGGTAATATTATCTATTAAAATTTTACATCTTACATCAGGATTTAGACAGAAATATTTTATATCAAAACTTTATTTTATTATAATATTTTTATATTGAATGTTTTAGATTTATTTATTAAGTCATAAAATCTTTGTTATTTCGATGGATATTAATAATTGCCATCGCATATTACTGTTATGTCATGACGATTTTTGATTATGATTGATAAATGTTCCACAAAATATAAATAACAAATAGCGTATTTAATATAACCAACCTACAAGCAATTAAATACATTCACGTATTGCGGAGCAAAACGTTACATTATGCCTTCGTGCCTTGTAGTAATTAATGCGCCATCGATCGATAATAGATTAACCACGATACGATGATATGGATGCCATTTCAATGTTTAACGATGATAAATTTTAACTAAATTTATCCAAAACGAATAATTTCAGATTTACTACGAGAAGAGAAATTATATTCAGATATTATATAAAATTCCTGAGATTAGTTCTTAATATTATTAATTGATATTACTGTTGATATTAGAAATTTATTGTTATAATTATCTTTTTTACGAAAAATTGTTAACATATTATTTACAATAATGCAATGTTGCACAGACATTTACAAATTAATTATTTTACACGCTATTAATTAGCGTAACAACATGTTTTTCATCTTAATTAAACGTTAAATCTCTCTCTCTCTCTCTCTCTCTCTCTCTCTCAACTTTTAACTATGACAGAAACATCTCACGCAATTGCACTTTTACAAATTAAAA